AGAGAAGCCAACTTACCCAGAGTCTGAAAAAGGGTCTCAGTGACTCCAGATTGGATCCTCTTTCCAACACGTTCTGCGGGTGCTTGTACTGCAAGACCCTTTCCCCAACCCTGGGCCAGAATGTCGTTCATTCACTCATTTGTTCATTCTGGAGTCCATAAGCATTTACTGAGCATCTGTTAGGTGGCAGGCATGGGCTGGGGATACAATAGAGAATAGAATATAAGACACTCCTTCTTCCTCATGGGCTCAGCATCAAGTCCTAGGTTTGACACGAATGAAAAATTGCAATAGTGACTCAGTGTTTTGTGGCTGGGATGGGGGGATCAGGGACATGCATGGTGCTGTCCCACCTTAAGGGGACACTGCCAGGGTCAGGAAGGGCAGAGGAGGTTCCCTGAGAAAGTGGCAACTGAACTGAGAGGTCAAGGGTGATGACATGGTGTCAACCAGGAAAAAGGACACTGCATAGTGGGGACCAGGGTCTAGGGACAGCCAGAGTGGCTGGCTTAGAAGGGAAGGAAAGGAAGCAACTGTCAGGGGAGGCCAAAGAAACAGGAGGACTGAACCGGCGCATCAAGGAGGTTTTCTCCGCCATGGCAAGGATTAGGCAGAGGAGACATGATCATATTTGTGTTTCAAAAACTCACTTCATTGCCATTCAGGGACCATGCCGGGCTTAGCCAGGTCACACTGAGGCTGTGCTTGACTTCAGATGAGGGCCAAAAAGGTGTAAGGCCTGAATCCTTGCAGAAATATTTACATTCTACCAACTGGAGGTCAAAACTATATTGCTCACCATCAAAGGCCTCAGTAAGACTTGGAGAACAAAGAATACATAGAACATGTTCTATAAAAGAAGCCATAAAAATCAACTCAGGACAAAAATCAAAGAGAGTTTCTGAAAATAAAAATAGATGATGTTTGTCACAAATAAAATCTTCAACTCCATAATGCCATGTGTTTTTACACTTCGACTTTAGGGCTAAGATAACTTTAGTTGTTTTCGTTTTGTTGAGGTTTTTTTTCCTGGTTTGCTATGCTTGGATTTGTTTTTATTTTCTGTCTTTCGCTTTCTTAATGCAGCTAGTGCAATCCCATTTCTGTCTCTTGCTAGTTTGGTGACCTTGGGCAAATGCCTTGACTTCTTTGAACTTCCACCTTTCCTCCAGCTCTAAACTATTACTATCCTCTGACACAGAGATTCTATAAATGACATACACATTTATATCAGGCAGTGAATGCCTGTCACATTCAAGCTCTGAGAATTTATCGTCAGTCCAACTCCAGGAAACAAATAACAGGAAGGCCTTCTGGACCCCAAGCCCTCCCAAATGCAGGCCTGCTGGCTGCAGGAATCTGGCTCAAAACAGAAGACTTACTTTTAAAGCCACACCATGACAACTTGCTCCACGTTTTCAAAGATGAGGTGTAAAGGGACTGTGATCATAAGCCAGTCATCCCAAAACAGTAAAAGCACAAACATCCAGTAGGTTTCTTCTCTCTTGAATTCCCCAAATTATAAGGCGAACACTTCATGAATTAAAATAGAAAGAAGTTTTTAGTAATGCCATACCTCTGCCCCAAATTTAAAGGACAATTAACAGTGACCATAGTATAAATTAGTAAAACCTAGATACAAGCGTCTACCAGATGCTTTTAAACCAACAATTTTCAAACAGAAGTCATAAAGAGTAATTGCACATTTAAAGGGGAAAAAAATTAAATAAATAAAAATTTTAAAAATAAGTCGGGGTTGAAAGGACTATGGGACTATAGGCGGTAATATTGTAATAACTTTGAATAGTGACAGATGGTAACTACCCTTGTCATGGTGAACACTTCAGCATGTAAATAATTGTCAAATCACTATGCTATATATCTGAAACCAATATAATATTGTATATCAATTATACTTTAATCAAATCTCACCAATCCCCATTTTGACTGAAGTTATTTTATGGTAAAGTTGATAAATGCAAACACTTGCATAATCTAGATATAAATCCTTATGATTCTAAGCTCTTATGCAAGTATAAAATAAAAATAAGTTGATTGAAAAAAAAATGCAATTAAAACTACCAAACCAATAATATTCAAATTAACAACATTGATTTGCTATGACACTTTGTAGAAGTTAAGTCTCTGGTGCTGGGCATACCAGCCGAAAGATATCATTATTTCAGCCCTCACTTCATTGTCAGTGTAGTCCTTTGAACTTTAACATGATGGACCATCATTTAACCCAGAGGTCATCAAACATTTTCTGTAAAGGCCACACTGTGAATGTTTAGGCTTTGTGGGCCATACAGGCTCTGTCATAAACTATTCAGCTCTATCACTATAGCATGAAATCAGCCGTAGACAATGGTAAATGGAGGGACCTGGCTATGTTTCAATAAAACTTTATTTACGAAAACAGGTGCCAGGCAGGATTGGGCCTGAGGGCCATAGTTTGCTGACTCCTGATTTCATCCATCATCTTTATTATGTCATCATTTGGCCTTTTGCCTCTCAACAACAAATTTCACTCTTAGCTGGTGATGTATCATTTTTATGGACCAGCCACTTCAATAATTCACTCAAATTTCAACCTTGAAAAAGAATTAACAGAAAAAATGTCTTGCCTGTTGATTACTCAATCACTGCTAAAGAACAGACATGGGGGAAAAAAGCAGGATCTGAGCAATACACCCCAAAGTGTGTGAGGGCACTTCTGGATCTATATACCTATAGCCCCAAGGCCATCTGGTAGCTCATTTCTTTTCTTGTTTGAACTACCGATTGGACATCAAATGGTGACATCCTTTTATCTTCATTGGACATGAACATACTATTTCAGATTGTCAACCTCTGCTATTTTCTCTTTATTTTACCATTCAGTCACTTCAACAGAAAACAATTATCAGGCACTTATCAATGTCAGGCACTCCTCTGAGTGCCTGAGATCTTAGGTGGGGAAAACAGACCCAAAAACCCTGCTTTCACATCTTACATTCAGATTGGGAAGTGGACAGTAAAGACAGACAATAAAAATAAAAGTAGCACATTAACACATAAATTGTGCTCTTTTCCTGAAAAGAAGGGCAGGTCTATATCAGAGAACCTAAGAAACCAGCATCTTCATCTCAGAAAAGCATCTCCAGTTGTGAAATGCACTCCAAAGATAAGTGGTATGTTTGTACCCCATGCAAGAATTCAGTGCCCACAAACTTGGAGTGTTTATTTTGTTTTGAACAGGTCAGCCTACTGGAAACCAGGCTTGCTCACCAACCCAACAGGACCCTGAAGCGGGCACATCCGGGGCTCCCTGGATGCCAATGTGGTCGAAGAAGCACAAATGCTCCAGAAGTGCAATTGGGCAGCACTCTTTGGTACATGAAGATGACCTAGGGCATGCTGGTACTGTTGCTTAAGTGGCCTCGTCTCCTTCATGCCACTGACAGGATGGCCCTGAGGAGGCTGAAGCCAACCTTGGAGGCCTTGGGCAGGTCTTGGCTCTGCCACTGAGCCGGTGGATAAGCCTGCTCCCCTCTTTGAGGACTGGTTTCCCATACATAATTCTGCAATGACAGAAAGGCCTTTCTTAAGAAAGCCAAATGAGATGAATTATGAAAGAGTTTTCTAAATAAACCTGCAGAGAGATGGTTTTTCCCTAGAAAATATAATGGGGGTGGCCCCCAGAGAGGGCAGACACATCTTGGTATGTAACACAGCCCCAGGCCACACAGCCACTAGGCCAGTCCTGTGTACTGCGATCTATAAATATACTGGGGCCATTTTATTACAATTGTTATTATTATTCTCATTATATGTTAATAATATATTATTATTCCCATGATGATATTGGTGTGTTGGAAGAACAACGTCCAACAGTCTGGGACGCTCTCATAGCTGAGTCCTCTTAAAAAGGAGAGGCCTTATCTCCAGTCACATCTGTCTTAACCTCATGAACATAATGAGCAACCAAGCCTGAAGATTCTTTTCCTCTTTTATTTCTTCTGGCCAAACCTCTCACAGACTGACAAAATACATTATTCCTATTATCTTTCGTTTTAATCATTTTCAGAAAACTGTCCCCCAAGCCCTTTTTCTATTGCATTTTCCTCGGGGCTTTGGAGAAGACAAAAGCCAAAGAAAACAAAACCCCATGGCCCTATAGCCTCCATTTCTGCAGGGCCAGGGAGCTGAATGTGAAGGAATATTCCTATTTGCAGCAGAGGAATGGGCAGGAGACCGCCGTTCCTAAAAGTTCGGTAACTTCGCTCTCTATACACATGCAGCCCCTCCTGTGTGAAAACACCGAAGCCCAGCAGACACAGTGCCCTCACTTAGGAGCCTTATGATATGGGTGGTAGTGTCCTTGCATATATCAGTATCAGCCAGCATGGCTTACTGAACTTCCACTGAGGGAAAATCACTCCACTGTAGACAGGTTATAAACACAAACAGGCACGCCTCTCTCTCTCTCTCCAACTGTGTCTCTCTGTCCTGGATCTTCCAACCATAGACCAGTTGTCCTCAATCAAAGATGGCCCCTATCTCATCTCATAAAGAGCCTAGTGCAATAGCCTGAGGTTTACAGAGCCTAGTAATTATGTGGTTCCCCTACAGAATAGAACAGCCTCCTGGACCCTCCCCACCTCCCAGCCACCAGGCACCCACTCCCAGGAGGCGAACACAAGCCCGGCTGCCCCAAGAAAACAACTCCGCGGAGATGACAACATTTCCAATTTGCAGTCTGATTTGTTTTCTTTAGTATGTGTGCTGTAGGCTTCTCCCTTTGTCGACAGAGCACAAGCCTTTCATTTTGCCTTTTATTTGTCTTGCTGCCGGTACAGTGAAAATGTATTGGCTTTTCGGTTAGTGATTGCACATTATCACGTACACAGTGGATAACACCGCGCCCCGAAGAACAGATGTCATAAAGCGAGGGCAGGAAACAGCAGCCTTATAAACCAGAGCTCCTGCCTCAAAGGTCCTTTGCATGTGTGCAGGAGAGAAAACAGTGGCGACACAAGGCCTGGGAGCTTGTATTTTGCAAACAGTTGCAGATGTTACAGACACAGCTCTAGTGGGTGCATGGGTCGGGGATGCGGAGAGTGGGAGATCCAGCTTCCTGGCCCACGGACACAAGGCCCACAGCCACACTGCACTGCAGGGAAGGACAGGACTAACTTTGCATCTTTGACCAGCTGACCCAACTCAAGACAGGCGCAGGACCGTCCTCCTGGAGTGAAGGAGTCCTCAGCGGGGAGGTCAGTCTGCCTTTCTAGCAGCTTGGAGTTCTAGTCAGTTGTTGCAAGAGCGTCCCTGGAACTAGAGTCTTGAACAGGGCTCTTGAGGGCCATCTGCTAGTGAGATCTCCCCTGGGTCCTTCTCAGAGACCCCCCAGGATTGCAGAAAGGACCTGCTTCCAAGACCCCAGTAAATACTTCCTTGTTGCAAGACCACATGAATTGAAATTATTCCAATTGTCTCTATTTTACTCTTTTTTGATAAAAACAATTAAGGAAGTGTAAAGCTAATGAAACTTATGTGTGTATCTGGAGAAAATCAGAAAAAAAAAGTGTTTTATCAAAGGATGGGCCCTCGTTTGGGGCTCAGAAAGCATGATCCCTCCTCCCAAGGCTAACGGCCTCCTTGCAGCTCCTCCATCAAAAGGCTGCCACCCTGCCTGCCTGGTGGCCCCAGGCCTGACCTGCAGAGAAGCTGTGCCCATCTCCCTCTAGGCCCAGACTTATTTGACTGAGGCATTTAGGCCTCAAGCCCAGAAATTCCATTCCCCACCCGTAACCTGGGTCTGAGTTTTCCTGGACACTAGGTCAGAGGGGACCACGGACGCTAACACCCTCCAGACCTGCGAATGCCCAGGTCTGTCCTTCCTTGTTATCTCCAGAGTGGCCTCCCTCTCCTTCTACCGTGGCCGGAGCCTCGGCCATTTCCCCAGCCCTCTGCCACTCTACGCCCGGGTCCCCTGGGTCTCTCCCTCTCTCTCTCTCTCTCCCTCTCTCTCTCTCTCTCTCTCTCTCTCTCTCTCTCTTGGCCATTCCCCACCCATCTTCCTTCCTCACTTCCCAGGAGACCAGGGAGGTCCTCACCCCCAGCCAGGCCCCTCCCACGTAGTCACATGCTGCCGCACTCACACGCTCACACATACACACATACCCACACACATAGAGAATCCTTTTCCAGCTGCCCCACCCACACTGATCTCACAACTTATACCTTGTGCCACACACTCGCGCTTCATTATTGTCTAATTGTTGCACATAATGTTCATCACACACATCTCCTAACTCTGCCCTTAAAGCTCCATGAGGTGCAAGGGATGTTTCCACCATTGAGCAAAGGGCTGGACTTGAGGCAAGAGCTCAGCAAAATTTGAGGATCACAGAACTGAGAGAGATCTTGGAGATCCCCACGGCTCCAGTTTCCCCACTCCATACTAGATGCACTGATGGGTGGATACACTGATTGATTGGTGGGTTGATTGGCCAGAGTCCATAGTTTGTGGACTTCAGGGTCAAACTGTGGTTGCCACCCCACACTGGGCATTCTGGTGGAGTACTGGGGTCTAGGGCCCTGCCACTGGACTCCCCACTCTGGTTCCAACCCAGAGGAAGCCAGTGGAACCACAGACAGAATTCTGACCTGTCCTCAGACCATGCTGGTCCTGAGGCTGTCTCAGCCACTTACTCTCTCTGTGACCGTGAACAAGTGCCTCTAATCCTCCATTCTTCAGTGAAAAATTGAAATATTAATTGGATTTACTTCCCTGGGCTGCTATGAGCATTAAAGGAGATGTCAGGACAGGGCCTGGCACATGGGAAATACTGGATACATGATTACTATCCAGTCATTATCATCAGAGTTAAAGACACTAAGGAGGAGTGGGTCTGAGTCCTGCACCTGCCATCCTTACCTGTGAATCTCACTCTACCGCCCTAAGGCACTTTCTTTGCTTTGTTTTGGGTTTGGTTAGTTTTTCTCTTTGGCAAAAATGAAGATCATAAAACCTGCCTCACTGGGCTGTTGTGAAAGTTGAGTAAAATGGCAGCCAAGTAGCACCTAGTGCCACTCACCTGTGTGCCCACCTAGCATGGGGCAGGCCCTCAGGTCAAGCTAGTAATTGTCATTACCTGTAAAGCAGTGGCGTCCACCTCGGTGGCTTCTTGCCTCCTCTGTCCCTGTTGTCCCTTCCCTATCCCATGTCCTGTTTAAACCCAGCCAGGCCCTTCCAGGACAAATGCCTCAAAAACACCGTGGCTGGCCAGAGTGGCTAGAGACAAGCTTCCTCTCTAAGACCTCAGAGTACTTTCAGTGTCTGTGCCACTCACTTCTCCCACACGTTTTATATGCCAGATCCCAACCTGGCTCTGTAATTGCAGAGCTAGAGTCTCGCCCTCTTTTACCACGTAGAGAAAAGGAACCGTTAGGGTCTTCACACATCCTGAAGAAGGTGAGGGCCTGTGCCAAGGACCTGTGGAGGGTGGCCCACCCATGGCTCATCAGGAAAGGATCCTCTTCTAAGAGGCTTCAGTTGCAGATAGTCCCAATGCCCTCCTCCTTTGAGGGCAGGGCTTTGGGCATTGAGAACCAGAATGGATGTTTGAGGGAAATTCTGAAACCAACTCAATGTCACACTTCAAGAATCTGAGCAATCAGCTTATTCATTTGTATTTTAATTTTAAGCTTTTTCCTAATTACAAAATAATCATAGAAAATGCCAAAAGGCAAACATGTATATGTAATATATGTATGTAACATATATATACTGTTAATGGTTTCTGCATGTTTATTTTAACATAATTGGTATCAACTGCATAAAATATTTTACATCTGTTTTCCAGTTAATGTTACATATTATTATCATACAGTTAATTTCCCATATCATTAAAAACCTCTTTAGTGATGTCATCTGTGACAACTCTATAAATACTCCCTTGTTTGGAGACCACTAATTTACTTAACCATTCTTCCATTCTTGGCCACTGAGGTTGTGACCAGTTCTCAACCACCACAACCTTTGAAGGAACGTGAAGCTCACGGCTGGAGACCAGAGGTGAGGAGTAGGCAGCGCGGGACCGCAGGTGCCTCTGGCCCAGCCCTGGCTTCCCAGGAGGCCCGGCTGTAATCACAGGGTGCACATCAGAAAGCTGCCTCCGTGCTGCCTCTTTGCTCACAGACCCAGAATTAATGTTTTAATGGCTGAAGAGCAGCCCCCGTTGTTCACAGACATCATTCTAGTCAGTAAAATAGGCGATCTAAGTGGTAGGGGAATCAATTTTTATTAGAATTCTATAAAGTTTATTGAACAAAATACAACCCATAAATCTTGTGTTCTCTTTTTGTCTTACCTTTCATCTGGACTATCTCAGTCCAAACTCTTTTGATTGCAAGGATCAGAAACCACTCAAACAAGCTCAAATAAAAGGTTAGGGTTATTGCAGGGGTACACAGAGGCCCCAAGGGAAACCAGGAAGCATGACTCAGCCCCAGGAAGGGCAGAAACCAGGGGTTTGCTCTGTCGCCCCCTTTCCTGGGGATTTGTCTGCTCTTCTCTGGGCCCCACTCCCTCCCCTTCTCCCTCCTGACCGGCTTCTCTGGGTCTCAGTGCCTTATACATTCAGGAAGGACATGGCCCACAATGGACCCCCTCGTCCCAGCTCAGCCTGGCACACGTGCCAGCACCAGCCAGATTCCCCAAAGAGGGTGTCTTACTGGCTTAGGGGGACACTGTCCCCAGTCCACCTAAGCCACTGACTGTTCTCTGGCCGGCCCACAGTCAGGCTACTCCCAGGTCCTGTGTCAACCCTGGCCAACCGGCAGTGACGGAAAGCTGGGTCCCATGGACCTGCTCATTCAGCATGGCCATAGGAGGACCGAAGAGTCTCTGAGGATGAAACTGGGTCAACAAGGAGCCCCTGCTTCTAATTCCTAGACCAAGGGCTATAAACTGAATCAGAGATTTTATTTCCAGAGGTTCTAGAAACAGTCTTCAAGAAAGCTCCAGCTAATGCTGTTTCTTCTCATAACCAGGCAAACAAACAACATGGTTCTAGGAAACCACACCCTCACTAAGCCTCTGATTCCATTCAGGAAGCTTGAGCCCAGCAGGCTCTTCAAAGCAGCCAGAACGAGGTACACCTGCAAGCTTAGGGTGCTCCTCAAGCGCCTCGGTATGGGACTGATGGCGTCCTGACAGGCACGCTGCTACCTGCAGGCTTCCCCAGGTCACTCATACAGTCACCTAGTCTGCAGGAGGCAGTGGGTGCAACTCAAAGCCACTGGGCCTCATATCCCAAAAGATTTCATAAGCATAACAGAAAAAAAGTCATTAATGATAAGGGAAAATCCTGATGTATTAAACTATGCTAAAATTATAAATTTCTGTCTATAATAATACAATATTAAAAGAATAAAAAGGCCAGCCACAAAGTAGGAGAAAATATGTACAGTAAATATAATGTAACAACACATTGCAATTAAAATATAATAAGAACTCTTACAGAAAATTTTTCTTGTAATAGAAAAATGACCAAAAGACTTGAACAAGCACTTCACAAAAGAGGGTATTTAAATGGCCTATAATTGTATAAATCCATGCTTCCCCTGAGCAGCCACTGGGGAAATGTGAATGAATAACAAAGGGGTATATCACTGTCCTGTGTCAGAATGGCAAACTGAAAAAAGACAGCCAAAACAAAGCCTATGGGAAGATGGGGAGAGACAGACACTCACACTCTTCTGAGCGGGAGTGGGAAATGATCTAAACCAATATGGCAATATCTATTAACTTAGGCCATATACACTGCATAGGACTCAGCAATTCCGCTCTTAGGTATGTGCCAAACAGAAAGGCAGGCACATAACCTTATGCGGAAGTGCCCAAAACTAGAACCAGCCCACATCTCCATCAACAGTAGAATGGCTCCACTGGGGTGTGACCACGGTGCAGGGGTTAGCAGTGCAAATAAGCAAACTGCTGCAGCAACAACGTGAATGGATCTCATAAGCAAAATAAGCCTGACACAAAAAGGTACACACTGTACAATTTCACTTACATAAAGTCCAGAAATAGATAAAACTAATCTGTGGGGTTAGGAGATAGGATTGCAGACAGTGGGGTGAGGAGGCTGGAGAATGCCGGGGAAGGGATTCTGGGGGTCTCATCTGAGTGCTGATTGCAAGAACATTATTTGGGATAATTATTTTTAAATTATAACAATTTAAATTATTATGATGATGTAACTATAACTCAGCAAGCTTGTGATTCAGGCAGTTTTCTGAATGCATATAATACATAAATATTTTAAACAAAGGTGATTACTATGCAATGTGAACATGTAACTATCCCTAAATATTATTCTATTCCAGGTACGTGTCTGACCCCTGCGGACCAGAGAGGTTAAGTGATTCCCCAAAGTCACACAGGTAGTTTGTGGTGGGCCAAGTCAACCTAGCTGTTGCAACTGCAAGGCCAGTACTCTTTCTGCTATACTCTGATGCTTCCATATATATTTATATCAAAGCCTAACCATAACCCCTGCTCCTGGCAAGCAGATCAAATACACCGTCACCTCACAGACAGAAGAAACAACTGATATTCAAGACAGTTTTTTGAGCCATGAACTAACCTTGATGTAGGGACAGCTTTCTAGTGGACATTAGCCAAATTCAACACTCAATTTTTTTGCCTTGAGTATGTAAGTCACTCCTCCAGAACAGCTCATCAGAAAGGCACCGGACCGAGGTGGCCCCCCTTCCACCAGCCTTCCCAGACAGCTCCTGGGCTGCTGACCTCGTGTCTGATTCTGCAGCTCTGGCAGGCACACCATATTGCTCTTCCCAGGGCCACTATTGCTTTAAGGATCCATTCGATTCAATAGTGAAACTAAAATAAAGGGGAAAAAAGGAGAGAGAGAAAATGTAAAATGGTACTAAATCAGAAGAAGACAGAGGGCCGACCTACAGGGTTACACCTCTCTTGATTTTGCAGTTGTCTCCAAGGAAGGCAGAATAGAGAGTTTTGTGCCAGGAAGAGTTTAACATCACAGAAGCCAACACAGTTGAAAGAGACTTTAAAGATCAACTTCTAAGAGCAGAGAATAATACAGCACTTGGAAAGAACTTGACAGGTTCCAAAGCCTTCCAATTTCACATTTCTGGGTCAATCCTCCAGGCAATCATTTCGGGTAAGCTGGGAGTATTATTTCGCTTTTAGAGACAAGATCAAAAATGGGCCCATTTGCAGAGTTACTAAGTGCGGCCTTCCTGTTAGTGGTCTCAAGTCGGTTGAGTCCAAATTCCAAAGTCTTTCCACCTCTCCACACTGTGAACCACACCCATTTCTAAGGGGACACCTGAAATCTGTCATCACTACTTCTGAAGAAGCCTTGGAGCCCAAGACCAACTGGATTCCATGAAACCCAACTAAAGGATATGTTAGCTTAAGAGCCTGGCTGGTTCCACGCTGAATGTCTGGATTTTTACAGAGATGCCCATACATCCATGACACGTAGCATTTGTGTAGAGTATCCCTCAGTCCGCCCTCTGTCTGCAAGGTGTAACCACCACAGAAGGCTCTCTGGTTGGGTTGCGGCCCAGGTCTGCACTGAAAATGTTACAAAGTTAATGGAGAGCGAGTGGAATCAGCACAAAGGATGCGACCTTAACATCCTTTGTTATTTCAAATGCTGCCTTCACAGTACCAAAATATCTGCTCTCAACAAAGGATCCTCCATGCTCCTGGCTGCCTCCTGCAAAGCCACAGAGGATGTGGGGTGGAAGGCCTGTCCCTGAGGCTGGGCAGGAGCACATCCAGCCCTCAGGTCCAGGATGAAGGCCTGTCCAGGAAAGGTCAGGAAGGGCCCATAATCACCCGCTTCTCCCAGACCCTGCCACACACGTTCCAAGGAGGAGCCCACCAAAAAGGGCCTTGGACTAGAAAGTTCTCTGCCCAGATTTCTCCCAGCAGCAGAAGCAAGACCACCAGGAGCCATGAAGTGTCCCTCGCCTCCCGTTTCCATCTGCCCTCCTGAGACAGGGGCCTGCCCTGGCGTGGCGGAGGCCTTTACGACATTCATAATCCATGGGGCATGGGTCAGTTTAGAACCCAACTGCTTTCTTGTGCACAGTCTAGCCCTACACAATGAGGGTGAGAGAGACTGCTGCTCACGGGGACACAGGGCTCAGAGAGAACACTCTCCCCCGTGCTAGCCACCTAGCTGCTATAAACAACTTCTTGTTTTCAGAATCACCCTTCTCCATGCACATGTTCTGATTGGCACATAAGAAACTCTCTTTGCTGGGCATACTGGCGGCAAGCAATGTTGTAAATATTGCTGTTTCTGCACTGCCTCCACTACTTTAAAAAGTATGCCCACAGAGACACTTTGGTGGACATGGCTGGCTGGCTGGAGACAGCTGTCAGCCAGGAACCGAACCCCACATACCCACTTATTGCCTTTTCCTCCTTGAGTTTCCTGAAGTTCTGCTGGTAGCGCCCCAGAGGCCCGCAGCTCTTCCTGCATGTAGCATGAGTTCACACAGCAGCCCTGGGCATGCCACGGGTTGGGCAGAACCCGTGAGGCCCCATGGAACCAGTGGGCCGGCTGGCTTTCAAAGGAGCCAACCCACAGAGCTCTGCTTCCAGACTTTTGAAGTTCCTTCCCTATAGTGAGCTGACTGGGGGCTACTGATTCTTCAGCCTGCCACTGCCCGTGCAATCAAAAGGAAGAAAACTCTGGGCCTGGAAGAGAAGTTACTATGGGCCAGAGCCCAGGGCAGAACGGCAGACACCCAGACAGCTGTCAAGAGCAAGAATTGACATTTATTGATTGTCTGCAGACAGAGGCTGCAGGAGCTCCAGTGGGGGCTACCATAGATCAGCCTCAAAGGAAGGCCCAGAAATACCACATTACCCGTGCAGATCACTCTTCAAACCCTAGCCCTGTGCCAGGGGGCTGGCTAAACAGCACAGCTATGCCAGACACAACACAGTCCCATTAGCAGAGATAAAACGTACCAAAATCAAGCAAGGGTCCCTTGGTTCAGTGGTTCTCAACCAGGGAAGACCACCCCCTTATGTGCCCTGAAATTCAGGGGGTAGGGTTCAGGTTGCCACAGTGCCCATGCTATAGGCCTTTAGAGGGCAGGGACCAGGGATTCTGAGCCTCCAGCAGTGCAGGAAATGATCCTGCACAAAGAATTGTCCTGCCTGGAATGCCAGTGTCCTTGCTGAGAAAAGTCAACCCCTACAATCACTCAGCCTGAATTCTCAGCTGATTTTGTCTTGTCTCCCTCAAATAAATTTCAGTCCCAGGTGGTGTGCTGCAGTTTCGGGGGCTCACGCGCATACACGGGAAAGCTGTTTCTTTGGGAGGGGGACCAGTCAGTATGGGAAGCTGTGCAGCACATTGTCATGAGCACCGGCCCCAGTAAGCCCTCCATGGTTTAAACCCTGCCTGTGCACCCAGGGCCAGTCCCTCATCTGCACATGTGCATGATGATGTGCTCCTCCCTCCTGGCACTGCCGTCAGGTTCCATGAGATCATGTATTTGCAGGGCTGTGTTCAGTTCCTATAGGTATTTTTGCTATTTAAGAACTGTCAGGCCAGGAATCTGCATTTAAATTTTTCAGCCACAAACATAATGGGGTAAAGTGAAATGGAGATTGATTGGGATTTAGGACCTCAAGCTTCAAATCCCAGATCTTCTGTTTAGCCAGGAGGGCTTATGCCAATCCACTGACCTCTATCTCTTCACACTTCAAAATGTGAATGATAACAGTAACAGAGTGAATGTGAGCATTCGCTGAAATTAGGAAGTGAGAATGATTTGACGTGTACAGAGGCACAAATTTAAAGCACCTGTCACATGTGCAGTCTACATAGAACCATCTAAAGCTAGACCATCATGCCTGCATGTTGGCATCTTTTCCTTCACTTAAGATCACATCGATCCCTCTGTGAGTAAACATAGTCAATGCAACAACATACAGAAAGACATTCAACTTCACTGATAATAAAAGATGCATATTAAAATATCAAGAGACCATTTCTCATTGACAAAAGATCCAAAAGGCAGATACTGCTCAGTGTTGGTGAGGGAAACAGGCTTCTTATATATGAACACTGGGGGTGGCAATATTAACTGACACAATATTTCTAGAAGATAGTATGGTAAGGCATGCCAAAAATTATATGTGTGTGTGTGTATGCATACATACATATACAAATATATAAAGGAAATAATTGAGACTTACAAGAAAACTGTCCAAAATGTTTGCTGCAGCATTCCTTACAATGGATAAAACTTGGAACTAGTCTAAGTGTTCTTTAACTGGGGATTGGTTCAATAAACAATGCCATATCTGCCATATCCATATTTTGGAATATAGGTAGTCATTACAAAATATAAAATAGAGTACATGTAGTCTCATGGAAAAGTGTTTGTATTAAACTTTTGAATGGTAAGTAGCAAATTATTGGACACTACGAAGGGACAATCCAGTTGTTGCAAGAAAAAAATGTGTTTTATAGCAACTTTCAAATGTCTGAAGGAAAATACACTGGACTCAGTGGTTACCCATGGGAAAGAGACTACAAGTTGGGGAGAGAAAAGGTTTCCGATTTATATCTGGAGGTGCATTATATGTTAGAGGTACATTCTACCAGGAAGCCAAATGGAGAGGTGTTAAAATTCTGCCACAGAGGAGGCCAAAGCCTACACATCAGTTTACATAAAACTTTATTATCACAATTTTGTATGAAAAGCATAGTGACATTTTGAGGGCTGACACAGAGTTGCAGAAACAGTGTTTCTGGCCATGATTTTAAAGAGATGTTCTGCACCCCTCCACTGCCCACTGGTGTCACTGAAGAGATGGTCACTTTCAGCCACGGTGGATGAGGAGCAGCATGTTTTGAAGGGAGCCTCGTTTTTCTCTGTCTTTTTTCTTCATTCTTTGTATACTGCCTATTATGTCTGAATCCAGGATCATTCATCACAGATGTCATATGGGATTTCGGAGTGTTTCCTCCTGGTGTAGCATTAAGATGGTCAAGTTAATGGTTTTGTGTTTTATTCATCCGTAAGGTGTGAGAGGTTCTCAGATGACGCTTTTTCTTAAAAGACTCATGGCCTGAATAAAATCAAATAATTAAAAATTAAATACAGTTCTGAAAGGTTGTTTTGTTTAATGTCAGGAATGTTAATACAAAAATAATTCTATGAAATGAGACTGTATGACATCTTCTAATTGTCTTAGTCAACTCAGACTGCTATAAAAATGACCATAGACTTAAACCACAAACATTGCTTTCTCAGTTTGGAAGGCTGGAAGTCTGAGGTCAGGACACCAGCAGATGCCGTGTCTAGGGAGGGCCCTCCTCCTTGCTTGCAGCTGTCGTTGTTCTATGTCTTCGGTGGCAGAAGCAGAGACGTAGGTCTCTGGTCTCTTACAAGGCCACTCATCCTACCATGAGGTCCCACTCCACAACCTCACCTAAACCCAGTCACCTCCCCAGAGCCCCACCTCTAAGTACCATCACCTTAGGGGTCAGGGTTTTGACATATGAATCTGCGGGGGATACAAACATTCAGTCCCTAGCACTAATCTACTTTTTTTCTTTTTTTTAGGTCTTTGTAATATTTTTGATTCCAAAAAAGGGATATCATGTAGGGTATTTTTCCCAAAATTGTCTAACTAGTGTATTCTCTCCTACCATTCACCTTGTCAGTGATTCCTCTATTTACTTATTTGAAAGTTCATAAATTTGTGCATAAAATGAACAACTTTCGTACTCTTAGTACAGCTCTTCACTCCTACAGTAACAAATGCCCATTTTCACTTCAGTCGATTGATAAGATTTCAACATACAAAGCACAAAAGAGATTCTCTCCAAGTTACTGCTAGAGGCCACACCTCTATTTTACAATGAATGTTTAACTATGAATAAATCTGAATGTCACATCCTATTCGCAGCATCACTGTTAACATTAGATACGAGGCAACCACACAACTGCTGATCACTCACAGGTTCAAGGATGCCAGAAATGGGGGTGACGTTGGCACCCACTAACTGGCCTCCCAAAGGCCAAGCACAAAGCTGAAGCCCAGCATCAGATTTAAACCAAACCCCAAACACCTGAAATGAATCGCTAAATTATTCTAATCTACATTGTTTTATTTTCTTTTTACAAGAAGTATTTATTTTATGATTGAATAGATACTTCTATTAAAACCACACACCAAAACACCAGTCATAGCACCCCATCCTGGGAAGAAAAAAAATTATGGGTAGGATCACTGGATCAGACCTCTAAATAAGTCCCAACCCTTCCGGATAGAGGTTGTTGTTTGCTCATGATTAGACTGTAGATTATACGCTCTTGGAGCTGGCAGTGCCCTTGGAGATCAACGCCACCCACCCACCACTCAGAATTTCCTGATGCAGCCGGCTGTTTCCCCAGCACAAGTCCCCCTCACTCCACACCAGCTTCCACAGGCAGCAGAGGCAGCTGGCTCCAACACAGATCTGACTGCGTCCAGCCCCTGCACAGAACTTTCTAGGACTTCTTTCACTGAGAGAATAAAGCCTAGTCCTCAGGGTGGCATTTAACCTCTTCCAAAAGTCGGCCCAAGCTTACCTTTCCTGCCTCGCCTCTGGCCACCCTTCCCTTGCAAATCATGCTCCTGGCCCCACAGGGACTCTGCTTCTTCTGTTCACCTCCAAGTTCTCTCCCTGCTGAATTTTAGTCCTCCTCTGTGAGTAATCCCCCTCTTCTACTAAGTGCCAGCAGGATTTGTCTGTCCTTGCTGCCAGTGTAGAATGCCCTCCACCCCCACCTCTGATCTACAGATTCCTGAAAACAGGCACCACACCGTGGTCAGCTTTAATCCCCAGTCTCCAGCACAGTTGCAGCAAATGCATCCTTTCAGCAAATGCTGAAAGAAAGAAAGAAAGAAAGATGAATCTATATAATCAGTCCCAAATTTTTGTATGAATTTCATACCTACCCCTTGATATTAATGTAAATGTTCTTTACAGATTGCAATGCCAGACATGGAAATCACTGGACTATCGGTCTTCCAACCTCATTCTCTGGAGAGCTCAAGTTCACATGAGAGAGTGGGGGTCGCTGTGAGTGCCAGGAGCAGCAGGGCACCTGCATCTTCACCCACTAGATCTTCTCTGTCCCTTACATCCAGGTTCCGAGGGATAGTGTGTCTGTTGGGATGCTGGGGGGGAGCAATTTGCTGCTGCCAGAAAGAGGCTGAGAACTCCACTTAGACCAAGAAGCCACCTTTTCGACAGATGGGGCAGGCCCAGTCTGAGAAGTTTACCTATAAAGCAAGGCTGTCATTGAAATAAAAGGTATTGGCTTGACACAAAGACAAATGGTGACTCTGTACATCTTACTACGCTGATGGACAGTGACTGCAATGGGGTGTTGGGGGGACTTGATAATATGGGTGAATGTAGTAACCACAATGTTGCTCATGTGAAACCTTCATAAGATTGTATATCAATGATACCTTAATTTTTTTTAAAAAAGGTATTGGCTTGAGAGTGAAACTGGGGCTGGAAACCAGCTGTGTGTCCTCGGGTGGGCTTGTGCCTCAGTCTCCCCACTGATGCCTGCCATCTGTGTGTGACCATGGGAGGGGAGAGGGAAAGAGTTGAGATACTACAAATACATTTGTAAGGTGCTCCAATCTTAAATTTACAGAGTGATGGGTTTTACTTATGTATGCCCCTTGTAATCTCCACTCTGATGAAGATACAGGGCTGTTCACCCCCAGCACCCTAAATGACTCTTGCACACCTGTCCCACTTACGTCCCCACCACCACTGTTCTGACTTCTTTCCCCAGAGATCCATTTGCTTGCTTTTAAACTTCATCTAAGTGGAATCCTAGAAGATCTATTCTCTTGTGTCCAGCTCCTTTCACTTAACATTATATTTGGAGGTTAGTCCATGCTTCTGTACGTTTTCTTTTGTTGTGGAAACAGCCAAATAAAATGTCTGGCAAGGAAAGGATTTAGAAAGCATAGAAGACAAAAATATGCAAGGTGCAGTATTATTTACTGAGGCTCAGGCAGTCTGTAGACTGTAAGCTCCTTGAAAGTAAAAATGAAAGACATCATTGTTTTGTCTTTGCAGCCCTTAAAATTATGCCCAGCTCATAATCAGGGCTTGACAAATTTTTGGTTGAATTGAAAATTATCATCATTGCACAGACCATCTGGCCTTTTATAGACTGCTTTTTTTTTCACCCACGCTCCAATCAGCACATCCCTCACCTCCCCAACAGGATCCCACCCTAGTGGACGCTGCATTTTGTCTTTCCTCTATGGGTTATGCAGAGCCTGACCCTGTTTTCTGCTCTGTCGCTTCTCTCTCCAGACACTAGAATGACTCACCCGGTGGAGAGATCGGAGATGGGAGGGAGCAGGACAGAGTACCTCAAAGAAGTAGACAGAAAAGTGTAAGGAGAGGAAGGATCCTTGGCCAGGCCAGAGAAAGTGCTGGAAGCACCGTGCCTAGACACAGTGGTCAGACAGGAGACAGAAGCAGGCTCAGCAGGGCCCCAGCTGGGGCTCCAGACCCTCAAGCCACAAGCCCCCTGATCCCCCTCCGAGACCCGTGACATTCCCTCCTCCATGTGCACCATGGCCAAGTTCAGAGCTCACCCCAGCTGTCGGGGCACACTGTCACTCCAGCTGTTACTGAGCGATGGATTCCTGTTGCCAAGATATGGATTTGGTTTTAATAACAGTTAGTGCAAACACTGTAAATTTACTGCTGCTAGAGAGAGTTTTTGAAAACGTCCACTCTGGCTATAATTTTTCAGCCGCACCAGCTGTTTGTGCTCAGCTCATACCTGACATGGTGCTTTGAAATAGCAATCACTGTATTTATAAGAAGGCAAGGACTCATAAATATGTCACAAGTGGAATATACAATGCCATATTTCACCATTTTCTATTTTAAAATTGTGAGTTATGGCTGCAGAAATGCACACCCATTAAAGGTGATATGATGTATTTTCTGCCCTGTTCAGGAGTCCATCCATCATCGAGACAATAAAGAAAACCGCACTTACTTTTTTCCTGTCGTCTGTAATTTATGATCCCCAAAAAGCTGTAACCTTTTGGCAGGCTTTGCAGAAACCACTGCACTGTTAGCAACTAAATAACCTTTTATAAGGTTTTAAATGTGTTGCTACAGTCTCAATGCACTTGCTGTATTGATCCAGAAGATCTTGGGGGAAAAAAAAGATAGGGGGAAGGAATGGAAGATGATCTATAACAAGATCGATAACAGCATATAGATTGTTGAAAGATGTGTCTAATGATTTTTGCCAGCCATCATCTTTCAGTACGCCACACCCTGTCTCTTAGGCCTTGGTCTTGGCTGGAATTGACTGACCTTGCTTTCCTGCTGCCTCCCTCCCCCTCCTGTCAGGCAACTAGATGGGGAGAAGCAGGATGGATTGGCCACCATAGGCTATTTGCAGAAAAGCTCTGAGCATCACAGAGCTGGAAGGTGCCATCCAAACTGTCTCTCTGCAAGGTGGGGAAACTGAGGCCCAGGAATTGGCTGCGACTTGCCCAAGGTCAAACAGCCATTCTGGAGCAGAGTTCCTGGTTTTCAGTCCATCCTTTTCCCAACTCTACCACTCCACATCTCCCGTTTGCCCCGCAGGAAGAGGCTGTGCATGGAGCAGGTGAATACATTTCTGATGAGCTTTGCAGACCAATGAATCTGCCTGGCAGCAAGGAGTAGTGGGAAAGGAATCAGATGGAACTCAGCTGAATCTGGACCCCACCTCTCACCTGTCTGGGTCTCTGGTCTGCTACCTGTGAGATGCCAATCATAACCCGTAAGGCAGTAGAGATCAGCTCCAGTGGGTGGGTAACACCATGCTCAAAGGCTGGCATGTGGCAGGTGAACCATAAAGTAACTGGCCCATTGCCAGCATTTTCTGGGTTCTCCTTCCTCCCCCTTTGCTTCCCTTTATCCTCCAGGACAATGGGGGATGGAACCTCTCAGGGAAAAGCCAGCTATGGAGGAAAGTAGGATAATCTTTCCAACCACAAAATCTTTGGTGGAGAGGCGTTCCCTTGATTGTCACGGATGAGAGGGGCTGAGGTGAATGCGATCGTTTTCTGCTCCCTAAGCGTAAGCTGAGCCCAGTCCCCGAGTGTAGACGCCAGGCTGTGTAAGCTCCCTTTGGAGGTACCCACAGGAGGCCATGGGTAATCGAGCTGTTAACGCTATATTCTTGGTAGGGAAAATTTGCAGGTAAAATACCCTTGTGAAGCAGCCGGCCGGTGTGCAATGGCTGTGTCTCAGGGGACTGTCCTTCAGACAGCCCTGAGTTCTTAAAATCAGTGCTTTTAGCCTACCTTGGAGCTGGAGGAGCCCTGCCAGACAAAGGCAGCCGCAGCCTGTTTATAAATGAAGCTCCGTTAGAGCACAGCCACGGCCATTTGCTACCTATCTCCCCGGCTGCTTAGCTACGACTACAGAGGTGAGCGGTCCCAGTAGGGACCAGGAGGCAGCCAAGTCTAAAATCCATACGAACTAGCCCTTTCAGAAGAAAAGTTGCAAACTCCTTCTCTAAGTGCCGGAGGGGGCTTCTCAGGAGGAGGCAATCAATGGTCATTGCCTGCAGGGTGATCCATAGTTTGCCAACTGCGTTCAGGAACACAACCTGGAGTAAATGGCCCAGCAATCCTGAGAGACAGATTCTGATTATTCCTGTGGCGCAGAGGAGCCTACTGAGCCCCAGAGAAGCATGGTGATTTGCCCAAGGTCACACCAAAAGGCAGGGGCAGGGCTGGGACCGGAGCCCAGGCTGGGGGAGCTGAGAGGCCAGGCTTCTGGCCATCCCACCCTGAGATGGGAAACCCCGGGCCCCTCAGGGCCACGGCTCACACCAGCTGGTCGCCTGGGAAGGTCACTCAGCCCCTCTAGACCTCAGTTTCCTCATACCCGAAAAGAGGAGGCACAGCAATATGCATTTTTGAAAGATGCTGCAGTCATTTTGAAAGACTGATAATAACACAGGCGCTCTGAGAGGTTTCCTGAGGCAGAAAGACTGTTTCCCTCCACCAGTCTGGCACCTGCTCCACGCAGACAGGCCAAAGGAGGCAGTAGTGAGGCAGGCCTGCCAGTGGGGAAGGGGACCAAGAAGAGCCCCAGTTTGGAGCCCACCAAGTGCCCCTGGACCCCACACACCATGCAGAGCATGTGGACAGTAGCAGCAGGCCCACAGAGGCTTCTGAGCACACGTAGGACTCCTTGCTGGCTTCTGGTCATTCATTCAGCCTCCAGATAAAGAGCAGTCTTCGGAGTTCCCAGAAGACTCCCCTGTGGGTCTGTGGGGGGCTGCATGTCACACCTGCTGGGTTGGGGGGCTCAGAGCCAGGTAATAACAGGGGCAAGAGCAGTTAACCTTTGTCATGTATCCTACCATCTCTCTGTGTGTTCTCTCTCTTTTCTTGCACTCTCCCAGAGCACCCCCCAAATCATTATTAACATTATAAATAAAAACGAGAGGCAAGTTATTAAATGTAAAATATGCAGAGTTCCTCCCAGAACTCGCCGGGCAGTTCATAAACGTGACAGCTTAATTTTGTTGCTGATCCAGGCAGCTGATGAAGCATCTCCAGCTCATGGGCTAATTGAAGTTGTTAAGGAAGTGGGGGAGAGAGATGATTATGGTGGCTCCTCTCCTGTCCGCAGGGATTGGAAGGGTGCCCCCAGGCTGAGATGGAGTCCACAGTCTCCACCCTGTTGCTGCAGCCACCCATACCAGGGACCTAGGAATTCCCAAAAATTAGGCCCTTCACTGTGTCCATGCCTCTGCTCCTCAGCTGAGGTCTTAGCATCTCCAGATGGAAAATCTCATCTTAAGAGCCAAAAGGAATCCCCCCTTCTCAGCTCAAGAAAAGCATTTTCAAATAGAGATTGGGATAATGTCTAGACAGGGTTGATTTTAGGATAACCAGAGTGATTCTGGTTCCTTGCCCTCCCAAGCCAGTCTTAATGGAAACAACCCAAATGTCCATCAATGGATGAATGGATAAACAAACTGCGGCATGTCCATACAATAGAATATTATTCAAGCATAAAAAGGGCATAATGTCCTGACACAGGCCCCATGA